AAACCTTTTCTGAAGGAAGTATTTTCTGATGCTTTCAGTAAGAACTACGAAAAGCTCATTCAATTTAGGCAAACAACAGAACCATCAGAAGCATGGCCTAAATGAAACAAGTATTTCAATACAGGCAATCTTCAGCTAACTTAAATTTTGTTTAGTGACCAAAATTGAAAACACCACTGGAAAAAAGTGATTTATAACTGATTGTTTCCCACACAACAGTTGCAGGATCTAGATGGTCACATGATCAAAATTCAGACACTTGGCAACTAACTCATATTTATGACAGTTGCAGTGTCCTGGGTCATGTAATTCCTTTTTGAAACCTTCTGGCAACCAAAGTCAATGGGGAAGCCAGATCATTTAACAATTATGTTACTGGTACTAACTTAACTGCAGTGACTAACTTAACCACTGATGCAAGAAAGGGGCAAAATAAAATAGGGCAAAACCCTCTTAACAACTGTCTCACTTAGCACCATAAATTTTGGGCTCAACTGTGTTCTAAGTCAAGAACTACCTGTTTCTGTGTTTCTACACAGAATATATGCAGTAGAAATAAGAGAATTTCTTTGTGTGTGCCACACACATGTGTATATAACAATGATTGTCCCAAGAGAGTTGAACTACTACTAGTAGCAATCCCAGTAGCCTGCTAATAATGAGGGCTATTGCAAAATGCAATTTGGGAACAACAGGCTGACCAGGGGTTCTTTCATATCTGTGGGGAGGGGTAGAATGACAAATGTGGGAGAGGGGTTGAATCAGACCACACAATCCTCATAAGAACCAAAGTCTTGCTGACTGTTCTTACAAACTCATACTAATCAATGATCTCATTTAACAATTTGGCTAATCAAATATTGCAATCAAGATAAACACTAACCTATTAGAAAGAACTGGTACCATGCTTCAATAGTTATTTTGTAGGTATTCTTCAAATAAATACTACTCTCGGCACTTGATTTGATAAAAAGATGATTACACCAAGCTGAAATTGCTATAAGTGAAGCTTACAGCTTGTTCCTATGAAGAATCAGACATTTTCAAGTCCACATCTAAGAATCCACCGTTCTGGACACATCAAGAATATTTTCCCAGCTTTTTAAAGTCTACCTCTATTCCATGTGAGATTTTACCCCTTGACCCCTACATTACAAAATATTTCTGGATATTAAAAAGTAGAAACTACTTAGCCGAAAAGGCTGAAATGTCAGTTGTTTGCATAGTAACTTTAAATGGTTCTTTAATATTTTTATAATTCAAGTAAATATATTTTAATTAAAAAATTATTCTGAGTAAGATCCGTGGCTAATAAATTTTACAAATAAATGAAGATCCTGCTGAAGAAAATTAAAATCCTCAAGTTTTCAGTCTATTATCATGCTACACTTTTCAGCAGATCCAAAATTCCACTCAGAAGACAGAAATCTCATGCATACTTCATATGGAATTTCCTGCCATTAATCTTTGCAAAGTTTAGAGCATAATCCATCAGCATATTTAAGAATAAATGTAACAGAATTTTATTCAGAAAGCATATACACAATATGTATAACACTGCACATTTTTCTGAACACAAGGGATTGCAATGCACATTATTCAGGGACAACTGTCATTGCAAGGAGATCGCTAAGCATTTCTGTCCCTCAAGTATTGCCAAACTACTAATAGATACAGAGGTGTTATTTATTACAGTACATAACCTCTTGTATTATAGACAGCTTAATGAAAAATATTCTCATGATACAACAGGTAGATAGAAATAATTCAGCCTTCCCCAATAAGTATTCTCTAAAAGAAAGATTGGACTACGATTCCTGCTGTAGACCATACTACTTCATAACAGAAGTTTTAACTAATGTATATGGAAACATCAGTTTGAAAAATGTGAATCTAAAATACAACTAATAAAAACTCATTCGGGCTTTCTTCACTCCCCCTTCACCAAAAGGCCTTATATTTTGGAATGGAGAAGGGCATTACAGAATACTCATAAGATCCATATTACAGGACAACCACAAAGGAAGGAGAACCATATTACTTTTGTAAACTATAGCTCACCATCAAATGCATGGAATGGCTAATTCCGACATTAATTTAATTTGCCACTCCATACCCCTGACAAAGGAATCATGACTCAATGTGCACTGGTGCTATATTTCATAACAGTAACAAAAACCAACAAAATAATTTAAATACTGAGAGGAGAGTTTATTTATTAAATGTATACATCACCCATCATAGGCAGCAATCAATTTACATTAGCACAATCTCAGTTCCAAACTCAGGTTAGTTGCCTTTGTGACTTGAAAATCTTGCATTTTTACATAGGCATTTCAGAGATCCTGTCTAACTAAACTTCATTTTCTGAATAGATGTGGGGTGGGGTACAGGAAAGTAGACAAAGAACATTATTGTGAACTTTGCTTATTTAAGTAACAGGGCTACACAATCTGGCATACAGCTGTAAACCCAAGCAAATACTTAATTTGTGGTTCCATTGAAATCTATTGTACAAATAACAACAAAATATTTGAGATTGCTTCATTTGCTATCCTATTAACATAACACTCTTTCCTTAATTCAGTAAAATTTGAAGCAGTTTCTTTTAAGGATACGTAAGCAAACAAATCCTAGACTTAGAACATTCTCAGCAAACAATCATTAAAGATCACAGAGAACCACTTTTATTATGCTAAATTATGATAATTAAAACATGACAAATACTATGAGTCTCATCATAGGCAGGCTTAAAGAGATGCACAGTTAGAAAAACAGTTACACTCAGAATATAAAATGAATATAGTCCTTTGCTTCTCATCTGCCTTTAAAGAACACATGCAATACTTTTAAAAAGGACAAGTGGTGCTGGTGCAATGAAAAGACAGTTTTCCTTTGTATACTGCAGTACTAAATGTTGTCAATAAACCAAAATAATGAAAAAGGGGAGAATTGCACTAAAACAAAAAAATTATTCTATAACTTTTCCCTATTTACAGTCATCTCCAAAGTCCAAGGACAATGTGCCTTTACTGACACTGTATACTTTAGAAGGCAAGAGAATACTGAATGATATCTGTGTGTATGTGTGTATACACAATTAATTTTTTTAAAGGAATTACTAAAATACTATTATTTTCCTTCACATTTACTATATTGATATTAAATCCTAATGCGTTGAACAAACTTAACATATTTCATCCATATCAGAGGGAGACTTGTCAAAGAATGTCTTAGAATTGTAGTAACATTCAATCTATTTCATTATCTGATTTTGTCTGAACAACCCTCAAGCTGTTCAGGCATTCAGTGTAACAGTTCAAGAAACAATGAACCACAGCATTAAAGAAAATCAATCTCAGCCCAATGCACTGCTAGAATCATTCCAAACTATGAATTTTAAAAGAAAGGACTTAGTACAGTTCAAATACAATAATTGTGGATCAGGATTAGGATTCTAAAATCAAGCTGACACAATACTCAGTAAGGGGTCATAGTTCAATAGCAAAGAATATCTTGGTTTCCATTCCTGGCATTTCCAAGGAAGGCTATAAAAAACCCTATCTCCCTATCTGAAGCCTTGGAGAACAGTTTTCATTTAATGTAATGTAGTCAGTATTAACTACTAGACACAGATTAACCATCTGACTCTGTGTAAACCAGTTTCATACAAGTTCTAATCTGGCACATACAAAATTAAAATTCCTGCTTCACAATCAAAGAACACAAACCAGTTTGTACTTGGACATCACAAAAAGCCATGATCAGTTTTAGATGCTCCTGGTTTTCCTTTCATAGAAGAAATCAGAGAGATCCTAACCAGGGGCTCATTCCAACTTATTCTATTAATACTATGTAAGAGTTCAATGTTGGTTCAACTAGCCCTTTGTTTCCTAATCTATAACCAGCCAAAAGGAATGGCTTAATAGGTTTTTTAAAACTTAACACTAAGTGTTGGGTTAAATATCCTTATATATATATACATATGCTGAATGACAGTTCTTAGATTTCCCAAAAAAGCAGCTCAGACTTGGAAAGAGGAGAAGTAGAGAAGTGAATGCACCTAGGTTTTGTGCTGAATGGACTAGCATTTTTCCCCCAGTTGGATATACAATAGAGGTCTTCTTGCTCTCCACCCATGCCACACTTAAAATACGTCAACTGGGAAGGCAGGCTGACTCAACCCCAAATATATACACCCCTTCCCAAAAATTGCCTCCCCTCCTTTTCCCCTTCCAGCTCAGTCCCCTGCACTTGGGGCACATTTTGACAGAGGTAGGCTCTACTTTGGCCCCTACATCTATATACAAGGGCAATCATTAACTTTGATTAAAATCATGCACAAACTACATGTATTAAAAATAAATAAATGGGAAGGAGAGAAAGGTGGTCCCTAGTAGTTTCAGGAGAGAAAGGTATGCAAGTCCTCATTATTCACCCCACCTTCACACTTTCCACAGAATAAAAGGAGCCTTTTAGAGAGGTAGCGGAAGGGAAGGGACCGTTTTTCCCTATTTATGGGGGGGGGGGGAGGAAAAGAGCGCTCCAAAGACCCCAAGTAGTATATTTAGGATACCTACTGCAAGGCTGTAAAGAGTTACTTACTCTCCCGGTTCACTTCCTTCCTCCACAAAGGCCGCTCTCTTTCTGGGGAGCGCCAGAGAAACCCCCTCCCAGGTCGGGAGGTGGGGGGGGTTCGGCGCCCCTTCCCCTGCCCTCACCCGCCCCGCAAACAGGGCCTGCAGAGAACCTGAGGAGACTCCTTCCACGCGGCCACTCTGAAACCCGTGGCCGGATGGCCCCGTCAGCCACTCCCCGCGTCCCCCTCCCAGGCCTAGCGGGCCCAGGAATCCCGAGCAGCGGCCCAGTGCCACGGAAGCAGCTCCGCTTAAGCGCTCCCACCTCCGACGCTGCTGCTTACGAGGCGGCTGCCCTCACAAGTCCCCGAAAAAGGAACCCGAAGAGGAGGAGATGGCGGCCGGCCGCCTGGAGCGACGTACCTGAGGAAGGCAGCCGGCGGAAAAGGGAAGAAAAGCTGGTAGGAGGAGGAGGAGGAGGAGGAGAAGGAGCTGTGGCGGCGGCAGCGAAGCCAGCAATGAACAGGCGGCGACGGCTCCTCCTCACACGACGGGCCTTTCGAGGCGGAGAGGAGCCGGGGAGGGAGGGGGAGAGGCGGTACCGACACGTCCGCGGCGTCGGCCCGACCCGGCCCTTCATACATCCAGACAGTCATCCATCGCTTCCTCTCCCCGCCCCGCCGCCTGTTAAAGGGGCGAGCGGCTCTCGCCCTCCCTCCCTCCCTCCCTGGAGCAAAACCGGCGGCTGTTGGCATTCTTATTCCCGCAGCCTGCGACTGACTAGAACAGCCCCCTTTGCGGAGTGGGTCTCTGTACATCCTCAACGACACACATGTCCTTCCCGCGATCTCCAGCCCAGATCTTGGCCGTCTGTGGAGATGGTGAAGGAGAAGGTGCCTCTGAGAATGTGCAAAGCGCCCGCTTTCCATTGCCCGGCTTCTCCGAGCGATAGAAACGAAGGGGAACCAAGATTTGTAGTCAACTGCTTATCGCTGCCCTTGCAGCCTCCGCGCTTGCAGTTCAACTCGGGCATTTATGTCTCTATCGCGTTGAGATTTCTCAGGCAATCTTTCCATCCCGCTGACTTGTCAGTCAAACCAGCCCGCGGCGGTTTCTTCGTGTGGCCAAGTACTTGTGTGTTTTTCAGGGTACCTAACGCAGGGCTAGAATCCCGCCTTTGTATAGGGTAGCCGCATAACGTGTGCATTTTTCGGATATATGAACACGTGGAGGTGGGAGTTTTTATTTATTCGATTTACACAGCCCCTCCGCCCCGATCTCGCCGTTGTGACACTGGGCGGGTTATAATTAAATAGGTGCATGAAATCCCTACTTCCTCCATCAGAAATAAGGAAGGCCCAAATACAGCAAACTAGGGGCTCAAATAACCAAGCATTTTGCTTTTCAGAGTGGCTGTGCACAAGCAAGACAAAAGGACAGTGGTGTTTTGTAACTGCTCCTATGCAGCTGGCATGCAAGAATATCATGCCTGGGCATAGGGAGAACACAATGCTACTGTTAACTAATAGCCATGTCCAGTGGGTGTGTTCACAAATCAGTAAGCCCACAATCAGAGTTAACAAGTATGTATGCATATCATCACATCCTACACATTAACCAGGATTTGGGATTTATTATGTTGTCGCCAAAAGGCACAGTGCAAATTCTTCATCTATTGAATTTTTATGATTCAGCTTCAGTCTGTTTTTTAAAAAAAGATAAATGTCTCCCTATCCATTTCCCACACATTCTGTATTATGTTAAACCTTTGTTTTCCGTAGAATTAAATTGATTCTTAATTTGCTAATTGACTGATTTATTGTACTTTTTCCTCATAAAGGATTGTTAATTGTTGATATAAGTTTCTAGTCAATATGCTCAAAAGCCTTTGTTTCAAATGAAACTTGAGTTAATTTTAAGTCCTATGAATCATCATTTAGCCGGTCTATCCAGTGCAAGATGAATTCCTCTTCTGCATGTTTCCAACTAATATGTTCCTGAGCTTAAATCCTATGAATATTTTACATTAAATGTTTTAATGTCTTGTAAATTACATGTTTTATGGCTTATATTAGTTTAAATATTTTGCCCGTACTTGAAAAAAATGCTAAATATATAATCTGTATTTCAATGGGAGCCCACCACAAATTCAGTTTTATGTACTAAACCAAATTTTTAAAAAACTTCCAAGAAGGAAATGGTAAACCATTTCTCTATTGTTGCCAGGAAAACATGAATTTCTCCAGGAGTAGTCACCAGGAGTGAAGCATAATTCAAGATAAATTTTACTTAAGCAACATTGAATAGGCTTTACCTTGAAGACAATATAAAAATATAAGTATGTAAGGATAGTTTTTGTCCGGATCCCAATCTAGTATAGCAAGATAAATTTATTCCCCCAAATTCCCTGTGCTAATTCCTATCAGTAAAAAATGAACCTTCCTCTGCCTATCTTTCAAATAATTTCCTTTATTTCAGGCAATTGTTGAGCCTAGAAGCACATCACAATTTTGTTTTAATTATTGTTATTTAATTTATGTTTACCAGAGCCTTTCTTGAGCTGCATTAATCACAAATGTGTGATTAAATATCAATTTAGAAAAAGAGCTCCCCCTTCTGTTAGCATAGTGAACAAGTATGTATCTCAGTGTGCAAAATGAATGGAAAATATTTTTTGTGCTTTTTATCCGTGGACATATTGGAGAATCCTATCTTCATGATCAATGATGCATTAGAATCAGCATTTTATTAATGAAATTTACAATAATCCTAGCAGCTGGAAAAGAAAATTTAAGATACCTGCTGTGGGACCATTGGTTGTGGATGGGAAATATAATTCAAAGGCTTTATCTTCATTTTCAGTTCTAAGGCTGATTGTTGTACTTGTTGTCATTAGTTTGATCTTTATATTTAATTTCATTGCTCTTTTTCACTGTGCTCTTTGACTTTTATTAGTACATTTTGCTGGTTCTTTTTTTTTTTCATAGTGTCCTCACCAGCCAATCTATTTCGCCATGTTCTGTCTAGTGTAGTTTCCTGATCTGTAAATAATTGTTTCTCATGAGGACAATAAGATGTTCTGGGATTCCAATTTGTCTAAAAACCTTCTACAGCTTGATGTGATTGGCATGATCTAAGGCCTTTCAGGATAAATGAAATGCATATTGATTTCTTTTTGGTGGTCTTTGGCTTTCTCAGTTATCTAGTATGCATCAGCAATAATGTTTTGTATTCTTCAGCCTTTTCTAAAGCCACCTGAAACATCTGGCATCCCCTTTTCCATTTAGGGCTCTAATCTGCATTGGATGATCATAGCATTATTTTGCTAGCACATTAAATTAAGGACACAATATAATAATTTACACCCTCAGTTATTTTATTTTATTTTTTGGTGTTGGAATGTAGATTAAACCAGTGGTGAAATTCAAATTTTTTTACTACCAGTTCTGTGGGCATAGCTTGGTGGGCATAGCTTGGTGGGCATGGCAGGGGGAGGATACTGTAAAATCTTCATTCCCACCCCAATCTGGGGCCAGCCAGAGGTGGCATTTGCTGATTCTCCGAACTACTTAAAATTTCCGCTACCAGTACTCCAGAACCTGTCAGAACCTGCTGGATTTCACCCCTGGATTAAACTCTTTCAATCTGTTGGCCAGTCTGTCAGTCCTCAGATTTGCTGGCACAACTTGGTAGCCTAAGCTTGTAGGTCTAATTTCTTTAGGTGCTTCCTGTGTAATTGGCAATGTTGATAAATGTTTGATGGGATGGCTCATTGGGAGGACAATCAAATAACATAACTTTATACAGGTAGTCCTTGACTTCTGGTTGGCACAGTCATAAAGCAGGTCATCACACGACCAACCTGATTTTATGGTCTTTATTTGAAGCATTGTTAACCATATGCAGCACTCATTAAGCAAATGCTGTGAACCCATTTTTTGCTATGGGGCCAGTTTTCACCAGAAACCAAAAATATATGTTTTTTTCCAGGGAAAAAAATCTCATAATTTGTGGTCATGTGACTGAGTTGCTGCAAATCGCCATAAATACAGGCCAGTTGCCAGGCATCAAAATGCAGTCACACGACTGTGGGGGAAGGGCAATTGTTGGAACTTCAGAACTAAGTCATAAGTAGCTTGGGGAGGGGGTGCTTTGTAACTTAGATGATCACTAAACAAATAGCTGTAAGTTGAAGACTACTTGTATTCAAACTGAAGGATGATAAGAAGCTGCTAAACAGATGGTCTATTTAACCTTGCTTAATGATAATTGCAATTACAGTGGTGATGAAAAAGTAACATTGCAAGCCGTCCTCTCATTTACAACCTTTGGCAATATTTAAAGCAAAGGAAAGCTGAAATAAGAGCATAGGCACAGTTATAATTTCACTTAGCGACCACATCACTTAACAACTGAGTTGCCAGTCCCAATTGTAGGTGCTAAATGCGGATTACCTGTACATATGATTCTCCTTCATGTAAGTTACATTTGTAAGATTCTCTGAAATCCAACTTGGTAAAATTGCCTGCTATTCTAAGTACTGAAGATGAGAGGAAAACCACAATGACCCCTAGTGATTGTAGAGCTCAGTAACCTATACTGATGGATTACATATGGGAAACTTTTTCAAAAAAAGGAAGAGCCTCTGGGGAAGGGGAAAAGGCATAGATTAAATCTTTTTGCAAGTGCTGGTAAAACAATTCTGTCATAGATTAATGGCATTTTGCAGGAATCTGAGCTCCAGCCCTGTTTATGGAACGCTCCCCAGATCTTGATGCCTAGCAGAATCTGTTTTCATTTTCAGTACATCAACATATTTGAAATGTAATATAGTTTCTTCTGTGCTGTGCTGAGGGGGAGAACTTGACATTCCACAGGTAGTGAGATGTGTGTGCCTAGGAATCAGATGTTTTATAATCCCAGTGATTGTGTGGATTCTGAACTGGTTGGTTATTAAAATTATTGACAATACAGAATACAATATCAGGGAAATGAAATCAAGTTGCAGGGACTATTGATGGTTACAGATGCTGAATAAGAGAACATGCATTCTTGATGCACTCTTGAGCTCCAAGTTTAGGAGTCTCCAATCAATAATTTCGATTTTAACAGGGAGATGGACATGTTGAATAACAAAGTCATATTTCTGTGAAGATGATGAGAGGATAAAATTGCACGTGACTCCTTTTAGTCTGGAAACTGATTAGAAATGGATGACTAATGAGCCTAATGAGTAAGACTTATTCTAAATAATAATTCCAAAAACATATTCAATAGAAGAATTCAAGCACATACTCTATTTTCAAATAAGAAACCTATATAGGTAAATTAAGGAATCAATATTCCAATTCACATTTTCCAGTGTAAAGACATTGAGGTTTGGATATTATATTTCTTATCAATGTAATACCAGTATTCACAACCAACACCAGGATCTATGTACAGGTTTCATTTGTATTTGAGGGTAAGTCTGAGTCTAAAAGTTCAATGTTATTATGCAGTGGGATGTCTGCATGGATTTTACTGCACTTACT